GTGGTGCACCAACTCCACCAACTTGAGATCCAACTCCTCCCACTTTTAGTCCAGGTGATATGTGCAAAACTTGAGGTGATATGTTCACTTTTTCATAAAAGCATGAAATTTGGTACACTTGTACAGTTTGGGCCCTGAACATTTTTAGAAACGGAGCCATCGCAAAAACACCTCGTGGTTGCCATGGCAGCCATTTTACTTTCCGCCATTACCAAATTATGTATTTTGTGTCATATCTTCTGAATCAAACATGATAAGACAGAGAAGATGATGTCAACCCATATATTTTGATGGTCAAGGATTACAATGATATCATATGCTATCCTATTACTTGTTTCACTTCTGTTTCAGTTTTTATAACCATTTTTTACCTTGACTAATATTTTATTCAGTAATACAATATTGTTTTCAAGAACACAATCAAATATTTCAGATATATATATAAAAAAAAATCCTCTCATTAAGTATATCTTTACTTACTTCTCGTGCAGAATCAGGTAGGCGGTTGTGCCTAAGTGTTTGCTTAATACATTGTTTCTGTTTCTGTTGTTTAGATTTTAATTTGCTGTTAAGAATGATTATTTCATTTACTATTTCTATTTTTCTTCTTTCGTTATAATTTGTATTTTGATTGCACATATTTGTAATTAGAATAACAGCCGTCGGCTAAGAAGAAACTTGATATTTGTATTGTTTGTTTTCTGCACTTAATAAAATAGCTTCCATACTGAATCACTGCATTATATTTCTCAGCAGTGAGGAAACTAAACTCACAGATCCATTGTTTGTAGAGAGAGATGCACAGATGCAGGTAACTCACACACTTAAAGTTCATCTCTCTCTCTCAAAATAGCCATATTTCTATAGTAAAATAAAGCAAAAAAAGTGAATCACTGAATAAAATACGTTAAATCTATATACACACTCTATCTAATAAAGACCCAGATATTAGTTTTTCACTGGAAAGATGCTCAGCACCACATTGTGGCTGTATCATACTACAAAGGTATTTTAATCGCATACTATACTATTTTGTCCGATCCAGTAACGTTACAAACAACAAGTCTGAATTAACGTGAAGTGATTTGAAAGCGTTTCTGACATCAGGCCAGACTAAGAGAAGCGTGTAATACTGCGACATCCAACAACAATACATTATGCTCCAATTCATTTGGAAGCAAGATTCATGACAGCTTACTGCTACATGCAGATGAACCTATAAACTATATATGAATACGCTAGAGTTAGTTATGAGTTACTCGCCAAAAACAGGCTGCAGATGTAGAGCAGGCCTGTGGTCCTGTAGAACTCGGCCTAATTTAGAAACACCAACTTCGAACAAATGAGTGGCGATATAAACCAGGCACATATTTGTAATTAGAATAAAAGTCGTCGGCTAAGAAGAAGCTTTTGATTTTGTACTGCTTGTTTACTGCACTTAAGTGGCAAACTATCCCGCCGTAGTTTCGATTTGAGCCATTTGCGTGCTATAGGCTTTTGTTGTGCTAATTGTCAAGGTGTCCACAGCTGTATTCACTCAAGAGTTGATAAGCTGTGCATTTATTTGTTATCTGTGCACTGATGTGGAATACCTGTGACTCTACCTGTGCAACTCCACCAAGCAAGGACACCGACAAGGCACTTAGGTATCTTTTATTTTCCTTTCGGCACACACTCTCCTTACACCTTCTTTTCCCCCACATCTATCATGTGTTTCCAATACATTCTTGTTTTTTCTCAACAATGCTCTAACGCAGACAGCAATGCAATCTTGCTAACCTTTGCCCTATCTACACCTCTTCTACTGCATCCATCTCTTTTTCCTGTGGGTCTCTGGAATTGTCAGTCAGCTGTCAACAATGACTTCATTCCATCCATTTCTTCTCAGTCTACTCTTGGTATCTCAGGCTTTAATGGGACCTGGATTCATCCAGAAGGCTCACCAACCCCTGCTGCTCAACTAATGCTTCTTTGTGAACATCAGCCCAAACTCAGGGCAGCAGAGACAGAATGGCACAAATCAAAAGATCCATCTGTCCTAGGTATATATCAGTCTTTGTTTTAATCTTTCTTTGTTAAAGTCCATGCTGCTAAATCTTCCTATTTCCACAACAAGATCAACAGCACTTCAGACACATGTAATCTCTTCAAAACATTAAATTCCCTCCTCTGTCTCCCTCCACCACCTCTTTAACAGCTGATGATTCTGTTGCATTCTTCACAGACAAAACTAAAACCACCAGTAGTCAGTTCTTAGCTACACACACACAGGAACTCAAACCAACCGCATCCAATGCTAAAACTCCCCTCTCCTCCTTCTGTCCCCTCACTGAGGCAGAAGTATCTAAATTTCTCCTTGCCAGCCATCCTACAACAAGCCAT